TTACCAGCCCATTACCAGCCCGTTACCAGCCCTTTACCAGCCCTTTACCAGCCCTTTACCAACCCTTTACCCGCCCTTTACCCGCCCTTTACCAGCCCATTACCCTCCCGTTACCCTCCCGTTACCAGCCCGTTACTAGCCCGTTACCCGCCTGTTATCAGCCCTTTACTCTCCCTTTACCAGCCCGTTACTAGCACGTTCCCGTTGCAGTGCGTGCGCAAGCCGGTGTGGAAGGGGATGCTGAAGCTGCTGGGGGCGGTGGTGGCGGGGCTGGAGGCGACGTATGACTCATGCGGTGCGGGGGGCGGGATGTCTTCGTCCCTGCACGTCCTCGAGATCGCCCACACCCACTACTGGTCCCGGGACCTCAGCGACGGCCAGGGTCTTGACCCCGCCCTCCTGTCCCCGGTACATAGGGTCCTCATTTTATTACAAAATTAATGCGATATTTATCTAATAGTTAATAGTTAATAATAATAATAGTTTAGCAAGTCCCCCGATGAATATACTATGGGTCCAAGTGCAGGAATATAAAATTATTTAATTTTTATAAGAGTAAAAAAATTTTCAATGAAGGATTTACGTGACCATGAGTGTTTAAGTCCCCCAGCACTGTAAGGCCACAGGTCCCTCAAGTCTCCTGACCTAAGACCTCCCCCCCTACAGTCCTCGAGCCCCTGGAGCAGCAGGGAGAACCTGCGGTCCCCAGGCAGTCCCCAACACGCCGCCCCCGCGTCCCCTCTCCCCTCCTACGACGTCACGCTGTCCTCACGCAAGTCCTCACACTCGGGCATGTCGGGTGAGTCTTGCTGGGGGGTGGCGAACCCTGCGTGAACCATGGGTGAACCCTGCGTGATCACCCTGCATGACTCGACGAGTCATGCAGGACTGAGGACTTCTGATGCAGCCCAGATATAGCTGATGGAATCTGGGGTTAGGTTAGGTGTGCCAAGTTCCTTTTTTTTAGAGCAGGGCCGACCCGATAAGACAACCTGAGGTTGGGTTTAGGACTGCAAAGGCATTTTCCTTG